GTGCGATTAATTAAATGAATTAGGAAGGAAACACCAACAGTAAATGCACGCTTCTCAAGTGACGGTAAGGAATAAGAGAAGCAATCTATTTTTATAAGGTGGCAGAGAGACAAGCGGGTCTCAATCTAAATTTCTAAGAGCAAACAGTACGAAATGCTTTTGAACGGCTTCAAGTGAACCTACATAACACGTATAGAAGGAAAACCACACTACAACAACGAGGCATTCTCAACTACTGAGATCTAACAAAGCACATGTATAGCTTTTTTGTAATGGAAGGTACTTTCAGCTCGTTGGCCAAGCACGAATCTCTTGCTTTACTTAATGAGAGATGAAAAAGTAATCTTTGATCGAATAGAATCCTCAAGTCGATAAACGAATCAACGTTTTCCAACTTGTCTGAGTCAATGAAATACTCAGTACTGAACGATTTCGTCTTAAGAAAGAAAGCTTTCTGCATTTTTTTTACATATAATTTCATTAAAATTTAACGAGAACCATGTAACCAAATTCCAAGGTGAAGTAAGAAAACAGTTTACGATCGTCAGCGTACATTAAGATCTGGTTGGATTTAATCACCGAGGGCAGATCATTAATATATAAATTAAATAAAAAAGGGATCCTAAATGGCTGCCCTGCTTGGGGGACGCCAGACGCCAGACACGACGAGAAATTCATTCGAAGTGATAAAGTTAAACATGCGAGGAATATATGGAGATTTTTCTTTTAGGATTGGCAAACTTTAAAAATGTGTCTAGGATTAACAAGCAGTGAGGGTTGTATCAATTGAAGGTATCTGCACTAATATTGGTGATTGAGGTAATTAAATCTATGCGGAATACGCAAAATAGTCGTAAGCAGAACGACTTTTCATAAATTTTTTGAAAAGTTCTTAAACCATTGCGGGTACCTATTTCGGGGGCGAGGTTGCTTAATCGAAACGGATGCACAAATAGTTTAATACATTACAGAACGAAGAAAGTAAGGCTTCAATATTTCCAGCAGAAAAATCAAGCATAATGTGTGTGTGGAGTCAAATATTAGTTTTGTCAAAACGATATTAGAGAGCGTTAGATTTAACACGTTAGAGTAGTTCAAGGGACCATCATGCCTATAGGAAAAGGAAATGCACATTGCTGGCAAGCAATAGCAAGATTACGGTTAAAAGAAACCCAATATGAAAACCACTAGGAATCTTTACAGATATAAAGTCAATCATAATTTATGCAAGTGTGGTTAGTAGTAATATTGTAGATGGTAAGTGTGGTTAGTAGTAATATTGTAGATAGTATTTTGATCTAGCAATGTCATTATAAATAAATACATTTTGAGCTACACTGTTGTAACTTTTTAATGAGCAAGTTCGCGATGGATGTCAAAGATAATAAGCTCTTACTATTTCGGAACATAACCCCGCGTAGCTTTTAAGTTAAATCTTAGCGAATACATTAACCCCCCGTTTGAATTGCTGTCGTGTTAACCGAATATCTAAGATTACAATCATATTCGTTTTTATCTAAAGCAAGAATTATTCTTTAATCTGTGTGTGTGTATGTGCTCATTGTAAGTATTGTTTTATTATCAAGCGATATTGAAAGAATTTGCCAAATTTCGGAACAAAAATTCGGAATTTCTTTAAGCAAGGAGGTAAGTGGACCAATAGTTATACTAATCTGATGATAAAATTTAGGGCACTAGGGCACCAAAAAGGCTTGGATCGATTAAAGGAGCGACATGATGATGAAATTCATTGATTTTCATTTACCTCAACTCTTTGTTCTCGATTGCATCTGTTTACCCATAATTTTGCCTATTTTTACTTTATCGCATGTATCTGTATTATACATATATGTTTTCTAATACTTTGCCTTTTTGTTATGGCCTAAACCCCTTGTGATATAAGATAGACGTTATCATTATACCGGTCGAATTGGAACCATTTTCTCAAATAATTTCCTAAATTAATGCAAAAATTTTGGATCAGATGAGGCAATTTCTTGAAGTCTCTCCTATATAGCAGCAACTACAAAAAACTGAAGGAAGTCTAATTTTAAATATCTCATGGTAAAAATTAATCTATAATAATAATTTGGCATAAAAATTAACTGGACCATATTTAAATCACATGGGTCTTTTCTTTGCACCCCATTGCATATAACGGTTCTCAAGAATAGTAAGCTCTTCAGCAAAAAACAGGAATTTACAATACCGCATAGTGAAAATTAGTCAATACTAGCAATTTCACATAAAAATTAACCGTAAAAAATTTTGACCACGCAGGTGTATATTTTAGATTCCATCATGAAAAATTGCCTTCCATGTGACAACAAAGTCTAATTTGTAGTTTTTTATGACGAAAACGAGCGAAAAATGAAAGTTTTAATTTAACTCTAGATTAACTTTGCTAAATTGGGATAATACCAGTTGACGTTTTGTATGCCCTCTCTAATGCGAGACCTTTTATGAAAACTATATCTTCATATGAAAATATTATGTGCACAATATTTTGTTTCGATTATTTCTATGCATTGAGAATTATACACACAAATTCCTTTTTTTACTGTCGTTTATAAATTTTACAGTCCATTTTCACAATATCGGTTGAACAATAAACTTCTATACTAGTTTTATTTATGTTGCTAGTCAGTCATCAAAAAGCAAAGTACATCGGAACAATTTTATGGCGACGAGATTTTCAATTCACAACAATCAGGATTCTAACTTTAATTTAAACAGGCAGTTGAAGTCGGCGTGAACACTGTTTTAAAAAATATTGCCATCTAAGCACAAAATCTTGAATTGGTTGTAAAAAAAAAAAAAATTTTATATAAAAATACACTCTATACTGGAAAGAAAATAAAGATTTAATTTTATTTTAAAATGTCAAGAAATTTTATTTAAGAAGGTTGCGAATAAATTTTTAAATTCTTGAGCAAGAATCCACATGAAAATTCAAGCTTTTTTAATTAGCAATTATTTTATAAGTCGGCGCTTATTCCAGCTCAGATAACTTCTTGTCCTTCTTTTTATTATTGACAGCGCTTGCCGTAAATGAAAGCATATCATCAAAACTAAATTAACAACAAATTTTTGGGGAAATTTAAAAGAAATAATTAAAGCATTGTAGGAATAAAATTTTCAAAAATTGCTTATTTGAATATTTGCTTTGCTTGTTTATTTATTTTCTTCCTCTTCTTTTCACTTATTCGCGTTTCTATTGTTATTCACACACCAATGATATTACAAATACAGAGCTGTTTTTTGTCCGGCTAAAAAAGTTCATTTGACTTGATAGCAATTAACTGATATAAATTCACAAGACAACATTGTCGAAATAAATGGTCGAGTCGATTGCGCATTCGACATCGACAACCATAAACCAGTTCCTAAGTTTGTTATTATCCACACTGTCTTCAGATTTATTGCTAGCTAAATATCTTATGGCAATATTTGTCTTTTTAGTTACGGATATGTAGCCTAAAGAACATATACCCATGCATTTACCCGAACTGAAGACAAGCCTGCTAACAGGATTATTAAAAGTTTACGACTGTCCCTAATAGAACAATTGCCTTTACTGTCTTTAGCTGTAATGATTAAAGATAACAAATCCACCAGATGACCTACAGTCGTAAGTATTCAAAGTTCTGTGATTCTTTGTTGGTGCCGGATAAGCATGCAATGTATAGTTATAGTTGCCATGTCTGTCTCGCTTGCAGCTACTATAAATTCTTATTATTAAGATATTTAATTGTTTATTGGAAGAGTTGTTTCTCTATTCAGTTTTATTGTAATTCTAAATTTTATTTCATAAGAAAGAATAAGGAAAGTGATGTAAAATTGATGTGAAAGCAAATCTACCTTTTGATTGATTAGTTAAATAAAGAATTAAGAAAATGAGTTTAAAAGAAAAGCACAAAATAATGTAGAATATAAATTAAAACTTTGAATTATATAACATAAAAAGCATTTAAATTAGTATAAAATAAATATCAATTAGGTAAATAACTTCTAAATTTAAAATAAGTTGTCCTTGTTTTATTTTTCCACGTTTTTCGGGTTTTGTTTTATTTATTCGTATACGTACAAAACGATAAGACTTGCCAATTCCCACAAAGACCTGTAAAAGTTGGCAAGCTTGATGTCTTGACGTTTTTTTAATAAACAACGTGGCACCACGGTTTCTCTTTGTGTATACCACTACGAACATAATTAATCGATCAATGCAATCACACTTCATTGTGACAAGTACTCCGATCCGATCCATTTTTAATAGCGTTTGTCTTTATACCAAAACATGTTGGTGTCGTAAATTTCAATGTGGGCAGCATTTTACAACTGTCACAAAATTAATGATTGTGTTTCTTTGACAGAGTTTTTGTGATTTTCTCTCAAATTTGGTATTCGACTAACAGTAAAGCTCTCTAATATCAATTTTACGCTTATTCGATAAAATTGACATTTCCTACACTTTTTTTTCATATTCTCTCTGAATTTATCAAAATTTCCTCATGATGTCGTTGCCATATGTCTTTTTATGATAAAAATGTTTAGTAACTTGTTCGAGAGCACAGAACAAATACGCATTCGAGCCAAGCATGCATTTGAACGGTGTCGTTTTATGAATTTATATGAATCGACGTGCTGTCGATTCGTATGACCTTTTCTAGTTGAGAGAAAAACAGCGCTGTGTTTTAGATGTCATTAATATGTGAATAGCAACTAAATGAAGACGAAGACAATAATTAAGCAAAGCAATAATCCAAATAAATTCCTTTTAATTTGCATATATATATATTTTAATTATATCCTAATAACCCCTAAATTCTTCTTTTAATATTTCTCAAACATTTTTCAATTAATTTTTCACGAGGCACTTTCAGTTTATGGTAGTAAAAGAGCCAACAAGAGGTCGGTTTATGGATGTCGACGTCGAATAAACTCGACGCCAAGTTTGTCTTTAGGTTTAGGTTTACAGTTGTCGACAGCGAATGAAAGCCCCTTGGCGATAACGACTGGCACAATCCAAAGCGACTAACTAACTCTATTAATAAGAAAAATTTCATAATATTGGAAAGACTTAAGTAATTATCTTTGATACTTTTCTCTTCTAAATAATTATTGAATGAAATTTTCTCGCAGAATAAAAGAGTATTATGAAAAAAAAATTAAGAAACAAATTTTTGGAAAATATTGAAAAAAGAACTGAAAGATTACTTACTAACTCTTTCAAGTAGTGCCAAGAAGTGTTCAGTCATAGCGTTTTAATTGTAATAAAAATAAAAGCAACTAATTTTTGATATGTAAGTAATCATAGAATATTGTCCTTTCATTTTTCAAATTTAAATTGTGCAGGTCGATCAATAAAATAAATGCTGCTCAAAAAGAGATCACGGTGAGGTTTATGGATCAGCATAAGGATTTGGCAAAAAATGTGATTCCTAACAACTTTAAAGGAAAGCAACAAATGAATAAACTTTGGGAACAGCTGACACAAAAATTGAATGCGCGGGGTCCTCCTATTAAAGACGCCAGCCGTTGAAGAAAAGTTCGTGCATATATATATATATATTTATATCCAATATGTTATTTAAGCCAAGTTTTACGCAGGTTTTCAGTGATCAAAAGTACATTATTAAAAAAAAAATTGAGCTGCAACAAGGTATCGAAATTGCAAACCAGAGGCCGAGATGTCGTTAAAATCCCTTTAACCTTCGCGGAAAAGCAAATAATCGATGCGGCGGGATTGGAAATCTCCGCGACAGGAGCGGACAGGTGTAGTTTTTCAACCATTTCCTCGACAGGTTTAACGGGAGATATGACGGATAAAACGATCCATCCTCATGAAAGAGAAGGAATTCCAGACTAATATGAAAATAAAACATCTTGAATTAGCTAATAGGAAAAAAGAACTAATTTATCTTAACTCATTCAACTTTGCTTTTTTGGTTTCCAATTCTTTTTTCAATTGTTTTTAAATTGTTATCATCGTTTTCTACGTAAATTCTCTCTGGATTGTTTTGAACAATGTCGTAAAAGGCACTATAAATTTTACATAAATGCTTTGCAAAACGGCATGTGTTCGCAAATTGTATTATTTTTATACACAAGAGTAACGGCCCTACTCTTCATTGCACAAAATTTTCTGTCCTTCCTTTAAAATGCCTATTGTCCTCTCTATTATTAAGCAAGGCTTGGAGTGTAGCTCATTAAATGTCCGTTCGCGTGAATCGTTGTGGACGTTGCAACATAATTGTAAAGTGAAGGGAACAGCGACGGATAAGTGGCCTTCAAATTCTATTCTACCAGGCTAGTAAATAAAACCATCTTTGCTCAACCTAAAGCCTTATTATATAGGGAATATGGGGTATCTTAGTAATTTCCTTTGGGATGTTTGGATGATTTTTGCCTGTACTTCGTAATCTCTCTTGAAGTATTATCTATGAAGTATTATTATATATCAATTGTCATAAAACCAAAAACATTTTTCAATTTCTTCTGCCTGTAAATGCTTCGTTTTCCGCAAGCGTTTCACTTCAATCCAGAGAACTTATCTCTTCTTCTTTTTAGTGTTTAAACCGGTTAAAAATGTTGGTAATCTATTTACTTTGAATTTTGCTGTTACTTCTGATCGATGTTCTTCTCTATAATATAATAATTTAATCCTTTAATCTTAAAAAAAGTATCCCTTAATTCGGCTGAATCTATATTGCAGCGAGAAAAAGAATAAATAAATTACTAATGCAATCTTCATTTTCTTCATCAATTCTTCTATTATATTTTTTGGTTTCGTTTCATAAGAGAAGAGAGTTCTTTATCATTACGAATCCTTACTAAGTCGTACACAATTTCTCATATCGCATATTTCTCATATGGCATATTTTGTCTCGCGAATAGATCGCGCGAGTTAAGGATGCTAAGATGAGAAAAATGATATCTGGAGCGGATTTGATTGCAAAGTTTATCTAATCAATTCCCGATTAGAGTAGGATCAGAAAACAACAACATTATCCGCATATCATTCATCAAGCAGTCATTACGGTATGTGGTAAATCAATTATCGAACTTAATAGAGAACGTTATGGAATACATTCGAAGGGTTTTCTATATATGTTAATGTCGTTGTTGTTAATTAGGATGTGTTTACAATGAGTGAGTTCGTAAAGCCGACTATAGAATCTGGTTGGTAATCCTAGTGAAAGCAGAAGGGATCTTAGAATATAGTTTTTGACTGATATATTTTAAGAAAAACGATGTGACGTGAGGGGTGATGGTATTGTTACGAACGAATTCGAAGAATCTGAAGACGAATTAAATGTCTGCTCAGAATGTTTTGAAATTCTAGATGACACTTTAGGCGGCACTCTTTCAAAAAGTTGCTAAAGAGCGGAAACTAAGGCAATGCCTCTCCAGGAGACGATATATAATACCACGCAAATCTTCCTCTTTATAGAGATAATTTCAAAATTGCAATAACTTAATGGTATGTAGTTCGTGTTGAGGATCTTGTTGTATTCTACGAGAAGGATGGGCCTGTCGAGATCGAATAACGACCAGCAAAAGTTGATGGAATACTCTCTGGAAATAGTTGCAAAATTCATTAAAAAGTCTTTGTTTAAGTATGCCATTCTACTGGGAGTTTCTGCAGTGGAACAGAATATCAATAACAGCCGCCGGAGAAATTTTGTGAAATCTTCTACATAAAGTAATAAAATACATATCAAGGCTTCGAGTTCACTACGTTTGAAATTGACAGGAGAAAAAATGGCGAAGCCAATCAATCAATAATTCAGATATGCATTTGCGTTGGTTCCGAGCTTTCTACAGTTTCACATGAACGTTAAAATTTAGTGATGGTGAATTTGGACAGGATTGTAGAATTGGTAAATAGTATTTAAATTCTTTGTTAACACTGAACATGTGTAATAATCATCTTTGCAAGGTATATAACGTATTTCAGTAACAGAAAAATAATGCAAGTACTTAATATCACGTATCCTTTAGAATTATTACTAAGACGAGAATGTTGGAATGCTAATCGTTATGTAAACTCCTGTCATTTTTTCTGACTTTTACATGCTCAAAAAAAAAAAAGAAAAAAAAAAACGAAGCCTATTAGCTGAATACGTCGCTTTTATTATCGCAATCCATTCTTCTTTAAAATATCGTATTGTTTGGTACGCTTAATAAGAGATAATGTGTACTATAATGCACCAAATATGTTAAGCACGATTACGATGATAAAAACTTTGTGAATAAAAAATCATGTTAATGTAGAACATGGCAAATAGAATGATTATAAGGTGATATCATTTCTTCTTCGCATCTTTCAAGCCGGCACCAGCGTTAAATTTAAAAAATATTATATCACCGTCTTCAACCACATAGTTGCGTCCTTGTTGCCGATATTTGCCAGCCGCTTTACAATTAGCTTCACTACCTTCTTCTTTAAAGTCCTTATAATGCATTACTTCAGCCATAATGAAACCCTTTTCAAAATCAGTATGTATTCGACCAGCGGCTTGTGGTGCCTTAGTTCCTCTCTATATAGTGTAATCAAGCAAAAATATTTACATTTTGTTTCACTTTTTTTATTCTTACGAAAATCCCTTCATGTACCTGTATGGTCCAAGCTTTTACTTCGTCAGCACCTGCAGTGAAAAAATATTCCAATTGCAAAGCCTTGTAACCAGTTACAATTATTTTATCCAATTGGCTTTTGCATTTAACTTCATCTTCGTATTCTTTGCGTTCTAAATCGTCTTTTTCAGCCAAAATTTGTTCAAACGCTCCCGAAAATGGTATAATAGTCGCGCCGAGATCATTCTTATCCACCCATTCTTTTATCTTAATCAACCATTTGTTCTTTTTGCGTATAAAATCTTTATCGGATAAATTAACTAGATAAATGCAAGGCTTCGAAGTCAAAAACAAATACTTATTCAAGAATTCAATCTATTAAAAAAAAAAAAATAAAAAATAAAAGTTATCAATCACTATCTATGTCTAATAGGTTGTTAGCATGATTTTTTGTATCCACCACAAACGGATAAAGATATACTCGTATTATTGCATCTATATATATATAGCTTTGTCGTGATAAATTAATGAATGAAAATAAGATTTCATATCAATTTAGATATGTCCTCTTGCTAGATTGCAAAATACCGAACGAAAGGTAAAACTACGTAAATCGATTAGCGATTAACCTATGGTCATACATGTAATTTTCAAAAAACTGCGGCGGCGGATAACTAATTACCGCTTTAATACTCACATCATGAGCATTCCAGTCGGCAAAACGTATGTGTTTCTTCTCATCCACAAGCACACCTTTTATCTTCAATAATGTGTCATATTCGGGTTTGAGTTTTTTGTCACCACCTCTGGCTACGACTTTTTCCAGTTTCTCTAGATTTTGCATTAGCTTCTCTTCATCTTTTAAACGCAACTCTTCCGCTATAATGTCCAAGTCACGTATTGGATCTACTTCACCCTCAACATGCGTAACATCGGGATCATCAAAAGCTCGACACAAATGAAATATGGCATCGCAGGCGCTAATATGCGAAAGAAATGCGTTACCCAAACCTTGACCCTCGGCAGCACCTTTGACCAAACCAGCAATATCTACCACATTCAGATAGGCTGGAACTTTGCTAAACGTACAAAGTAATTAAATAATAAAAATTTCTCCTAATTTAGTTTACCTGAGCGGTTTATGATATTCGCACAAAAAATCGTATCTAGCATCCGGTACAGGAACTCTACGTAAAGGCGAGAAAGAGATAGATGAGGTTAATGTAAAGTATAATAGTAACTTATAGAAATCTTATTGTCTTAGTTATCCAGTTATGTGAAAATATTCTTTTAAATTTAGTAAAAGATAACAGTATTAGTTTGCTTGATTTCTACTTAAGATCTCAATAACATTTTTCACTATCATTAAAGCACCTGTATAAACTAAATTGAAAATCTTTAAACTACGTTCAAAAATATATGCTTTTTTTTGTTGTTGTTGTTGTTGTCTTCTTTTCATCGAAAACACTAAAAAATCATTGCAATTTTCTATAATTTTGTGCAATCACAAAGCATTAAATTGCCTCTGGTCATGGCAGCCATTCCTACGAATAAAAACGTTATACAGGAAAACATAAGACATACAAACAAGAAATGGCAAGAAACTGGCTCTCTCTCTGTACGGACTCTTTAATGGAGGTTGGATACACATGTATACATTATAAATAACCGAATATGTACAAAGCAAATGATTGCAGCATTGGCTATCCTGGCAGCACATGCTTTTTATAAGGTCCACGCAAGATGAAGTCGATCAATTTCGTTTTAAATAATGGTTACCTACATAATTTGCATACATTTAAATATACTAAGACGAGGTTCAATGCATTGCATTACATTCAGACTGTTTACTGACTTTGTATAAAAAACACTAAGACATAACCACGCCTTGTTACAGTGGCCAACGGCAGCTTATTAAATTGCATTTGCCAAAGCAATTTTTCGTTTAGCCAACAGGCAGCAAACGAACAAAAAAATACGCTAAATAATTTACTCTAAATTACTATTATTTAGGAAAAGGAGATAAAAAGTTCACAAAAAGATGAATTAAAGCTGTGGATATTTCAGCAAACATTGGTTTTTGTTATAATAAATTGGAATACTTATTTTCATTGGGATCAATAGTGCAGAACGGAAAATTCTCAGCCGGTGCTGCACTCTTTGTTAATACATTGAAGAAAGTCGATTTACCCACATTTGGAACCCCAACGATACCAATACGTAAATTAGTACCGATACGACCAATCAATGGTTTACGTTCCGGTTCTTCATGTTTTTTCGGCGGCATCGTGTTCGCTGGCTTTGCACAAAAATTCCCTGCATAGAAAAGATCAAAGTGAATACATCAAAACTATTTTTGGCGTTCGCAATTTTCCTTTCACACACAAACATAGATCCAGTCAAAATACACACGTTGACTTTTTCATCTTCAAACATAACCTCTAAATATTACGAAGTTTAAGCAAAAAAAAACTGCGTTTTTATGTTTAACTTGCCTTTAGCAATTTATACTTGATCTTAACACTTAACAATGGATAGAAGTTACTTTAAATATATAAAAATCTTTTATTATTTATACTTTTTTATCGAAATACCCGGCTACAGATTGCCTAAATTTGTTTGGTGTTCATAGCAAAGAAGAAAGAAAGAGACAGAGCGAGAGACGAGTCATTCACAACAGCTGTTTATAGTGTTTGTCAGCGATAAACAAATATTAAGTGTTGTTAAGCGCGTCGTAATTTTTGGTGGTATAACTCTGTATACTTGGGTGTCTATTAAAAACGAATTTTTTAAAATCATGCACTTAGGACGAAAAAAAAAAATGGAAATTAATCAAATCGTTAATGAGTAAGATGTATCGTTTACCATGCACCTAAGACAAGTTTCTTCTTTTTTAATTGAAACTTAACAGAAATGTAAAACAAAAAATTAAAACCTTTTTGGCTAAGCTTTGGAAAATTATCATGCAAAGCATTTAAGCTTACGAAAGATGATATTCGATTTTCACAACAATTCACATTTTCTCGAAAGTTCTTCAAAATAGATTAAGACTAGATGAAAAGCATTAAAAATATATATATACCTTAAATGTTTCATACAGATATAGAAGCATGTTATGGCGTCTTAATAATACATTTATTAATTTTTAAGCAATTAACTGAACGTAAAACCTCTAATTATCAGCACAATACCGTGCAAACAGCATAAAGAACAATTTATGCGATTTTTATTTTAATTAATTCTGACAGAAATCAAAGAAAACTAAAAGCCCCAGAATTCAAAGAAAAAAAAAAAAAAAAAAAAAAAAAAAAATTGAATAAAAATAATTTTCATTCATTTGCTCACTTAAAGCGAACGCTTTCGAAAGAATTTTTCTACGAAAACAAGAAACAATTTTTAAAAGAAAATAACAGACATAAATTAGTGAAAAGAAAAAAACTAATTACAATTTATATACAGCCACGTACATACAAATAGCACACACTTTACTATGAGCATAAATATAAAGATTTTTAGAATAGTTTTAAAGAGCGCAAAAATTTATTTCTACTATAAGGTACACAAAAAAAAATTTTAAATATTTTTAGGGAAATTTAAAACGAAAATAGGCCAAAACTTGACCAAAAAAGGTGTGATAAATATGAACAGCCAAAACAATTTAGTTAATTGCTTTGTTTTTTTTCTTCTCATGCAAAATTTGATGGTGTATCTTGAATAAATTATTATGATCCATGATTTCAATTGGCTTCCGACATGTCTTCTTCCTTGTTGAATATCACATATATATCTGCGAACCGTTCCGATGTTCAAAACGTTTTCGTCTAACATTCACTCGGATGACGTTCGAAAAATTTTTAATGGAATCTGGGTCGAAACTATTTATTGGCTATTAAAAACAACAATTAAAAAAAAAAAAAAAAGGATAAATAATTAAATAGGATTTCGTCTGAAAACTAATCATTAATAATTTTACAATGGATGAAAATGCAATTTACTGGCAAAGAAATCAATCTATATGACTTCATTATTTATAATTTCTTGGCCTTATTTTTATAATCCATTCCAAAATGTATACAGCACTATATAACATGCATTATTTTCTTCCAGTCAACTATTTTCTATGTGATAATTTAAAAAGAAATATATCGCCCAGAAGGGATAAACTCTTTTAATTATGATAGTAATTATTCAAAAATTTTTTTTTTTTTTTTTTTTGCAATTTCAAACTAAATTTGTACTGTTTATGTGTCTATGACTGTTTATGTACTATGTGCAGACATATAAATATATATATGAGCTGAGAATAGTTATATATATATATTATATATTATAGATTCTTCATGGCGCATAAATTTGTTAAAACATTTGTTTTCTGCATAAAAATGAAATAAACAGATAATTAGATAAGAGTGTGTATACGTATGTGGAGACGAGGGCTGATCCTAAAATTTGTGAACATTGCAAATTCTCGTGAGTGTATGTATATGCAAGTGACGTTACTATATATATTTTTTATAAGCAGTTATTCGAATTTATATTCTAATATGTTGTTGATCAGGTGAAGGTTTGCTCTCTTCGGAATTTTTTTTTTGCAAATGGTGCGTTGCATATATATATAGTTAGAATTCTATAGGTAGATCATAGAATCTGGCTGCTGAGATTTATATTTCTCTAGACTGTTAAAATTGAAATACACCTTTTGTGAACTAAAAGCAAAAAAATTCTCGACAAGTTTCGTCCTCTGAACTTTTTACACCCACTCGATTAGTCGATTGAGTTGCTTGCCACGAGTCAAAAGATATTCGACCTCCGTAGTAAAAGTTCTGAAAAATTTGAATTTGATGTCGTGTTGATATCGCTCATTATGTACTTTCGCGTTATTTATAGACCATTGAGAAAAAAGCGATAAGAAACTTTTGCCTGCGGCATTACAATTTAAGTCATTGTTTATGCTTTGTCACATAAGTTAAAAATCATCGATCAGACTAAAAAACCAAAAACGAATAGTGACTGTTCGGTGAGTTATAAACAAGTATTGGGTCTGGGTACAAATTTAATTAATCTGTCAACGCGACAAATGAGGTTTCCGCCTTTCAGAAGATTTCACAAATATTTTTCAAAAACCTCGTCTTTTTATATTTTACTCCTTAGCCTTAAGACAAGTTTTGCGTGGTTTATACCTGCTTTTTGATCCTCTTTCTTTTTAGAATTAGCACAGTCGTCGAAAATGACGATAAAAAATTGAAATATGGCATAAGCATTCTTTCTGATCGGCTAAGAACTTCAAGTTAAGGTATGACTATGATCCAACTACATATGCGCTCACAATGGATACGAAATTGAAATCATTTTGAAAATAAACCGATCGCGTTTTCGTATTTCCATCTATAACTATCGATACTATTTAGATACAGCTGAAAAGTGGTTACCCAGATATTCATCGGAAACATCAGGATATTCTCTTTTTCATTAATTTATTGACTTTATTTTTTTTTGACTCTAGCAATTCCGCAAAAGAATATGCTCAAAGCGATGCCCTTAGGTAGAATTAGGTCGTCGGCATTTCGAAAAGTAGATCACATAGAAAACCGTTGGCATACATTACATGATGCCTTATGATCACCTTTTTCAAAATAACGTACTCAGCGGTTTTACTGTTAAAGGCGAAAAAGAACTGATTTTTGATATGTAAGTCACACATTATGTCATGAGTAACAATATGACCGCTGACGACGATATTTTTCTTTTGCTGGCTTAGGAAAGCATGGCAGTTGTTTCCACTTTCTCTCTCTCTCTCTCTCTCTCTCTCTCTCTCTCTCGCCTAATTCACTTGTTTCCTTGAGTCAAGGCATCTTCAGTTTGAATATCTTGTCATTAAGCCCGTTTCCTATTTATTGCATTTCCCGCATGTTTGGCTTAATTCTTCTCATCTGCACGACGAAGAAAAGGCGAAAATCATAGGCGTTTAAAACGATTACAGCCGTCGCCAAAGTTCGCTCACTTTTCAATTACGAAGCAACAATGTATTGCGTGTGTGAATATTATCGCCAAATACTAGCCATTACTTCTCTCATTTTTTATTCAGAATTTGGATTCGATACGGAAACGATAACTGGTTTTTTGATTTTTTTCTGCTACCCTCAAGACCTCAATCAATATTTCAATTGTAAGAATTGAACTGCCTTTTGAATAAAAAATAAGTTGCCTATTGAAACCTTAATCGTATTAATCGGAGACAGGAATGTCCGCTGATAATGGCGGGGAGGGTAGGACTTTCCAGATTAGAATTGTAATCAATTTCTGAGCTCTTTTTGTATATATAAGGCCGAATATCGTTATGCTGAAAACGCTGTTGACATAGTGCTCGTGTTTTTTGTCCCAATTGCATCACTTGTCGTTAGTAGTAGGTTCCTCTAGTGATGATTTCATTCGAGTGGAACAAGCCATAATAATACACGACGTCCAGATGACACTTTCAAAATGGAACCGTCACGGATATTCGACTTAATCGCCGATGTTAATGGTTCTGTATCGGGGTTATTTGAATTTTGAATATTTAATAACGCATCCATTGTTCTTCATTTGTAAGGATTTGATAGCATTATCCTTTGAATTAGAGAGGTAGGAGGGGTAAAACTTCTCGTAAATCTCTTTTGTATACCTATTAATATACCTATTTAAAGGTTAAATGACCTTATAGATATTATTTTTAAAATGCCGCTTACCCTCTCTCACTAATTTTCTTTCTTTCTGTGTCTCTCTCTCTCTCTCTCTCTCTCTCTCTCTCTCTCTCT